GGACTGAGTTATACTGGGAGGGAGTGGAGGGCACTAGGTTATACTGGGAGGGCACTGGGTTATACTGGGAGGGACTCAAGGGGGATACTGGGAGGGACTGGGGGGCACTGGGAGGGGCTCAAAGGGGATACTGGGAGTAACTGGGATGGACTGGGGAGCACTGAAGGGCACTGGGACAGACTGGGGAGGCCCGTGGTAGCACTGGGGCATACTGAGAGGGGACTGGGACGGACTGGGTTATACTGGTACCACGCTGGGGGCACTGGGAGGGACCGGCTGACTCGAGTGAGACCCCTCCACACCCCCAATCACCATGGACCCTGACAAAGGTGCCGTGGGACTGGGAGGGACTGGAGGGCACTGGAGGGGCTCAGAGGGGACCCTGGGAGTAACTGGGATGGACTGGGTGATACTGGGAAGGACCAGGTGACTCAGAGACACCCAGGCACCCCTGACCCCCCCAGACCCCCAGGTCCCTCACAAAGGTGCCACAGCACTGGGGGGCACTGGGATATCCTTGGAGGGGACTGGGATGGATTGGGTTAAACTGGGAGAGACTGGGCTATACTGGTACCATGCTGGGGGCACCGGGAGGGACCGGGTGACTCAGGTGAGCCCCCCCAATCCCCCCACTCACTGTGGACCCTGATGAAGGTGCCGCAGGACTGGGGGGCACTTGGATACCCTTGGGGGGACTGGGATAGACTGGGTGATACTGGGAGGGACTGGGGGCACTGGGCTATACTGGTACCATGCTGGGGGCACCGGGAGGGGCCGGGTGACCCAGCTGAGCCCCCCCCCCACGCCCCCCACTCACCGAGGACCCTGACGAAGGTGCCGCAGCTCTGGGCCGTCTCCCCCCCGGACTCCACGCGGCAGAAGAAGAGCCCGGAGTCGTTGTGGGACAGTTTGGGGAAGGTCAGGGTGGAGCTTCCCCCCCCTTCCTGCACCACCCGGGCCACCTGGCGGCCCCCCCGGGTGGCCACCACCTCCTGGGGCCAGGGGCAGCTCCGGGGGACCTCCCCGAGCCCGGGGGGACACGCCTGGAGCCAGGTCAGGGCGGTGTCGGGGGGGGCCTCGGAAGTGGCACTCGAGGGTCAGGGGGGTCCCCACGGGCTCCTCGCGGGAGGGGGGCCCCCCCCACACCCGGAGCCACCCCCGGGGCGGGGCCGGGGAGCAGGAGGGGCTCGGGGGGCTCCCGGTGGTCACGGTCACGGGGGTCGGCGTCTCGGGGGGCTCCGGGGGGGGGAGGCGAGGAGGGGGTTGTGCAGGGGGCACAGCCTTTGGGGGTTGTCTGGGAGCACTGGGAGCCTGCGGGGACAGAGGGAGAGTTGGGGGGGGTCCCCCGGAGCTCCCCAACCCCCACGGAGGGCGACTGACCCCGGGGGGGTCACTGGGGGTCCCTGTCCGTGCTGGGGGGGGGTGTCTTTGGGAGTTCCCAGAACTGTGAGGGGTCATTGGGGGTCCCCCCGGGGTCTCTGGGGGTCCCCCAGACCCATCGGAGGGTCATTGGGGCCCCCCAGCCCCTCCCAGTTTCCCCCTTCCCCCTCCCAGTTTCGGTTCCCTGTCCCAGTTTGGGAACAGGAAATACCGGTTGGGGGGGGCGGGGGATATTCTGACACAGGTGGAGGGGACAAAAACCGATACTGAGACCCCCTGAGACCCCCAGACCCAAACCCTGAGACCCCCAGACCCAAATGGAGATCTTGGGATCCCTGAGACCCCCAGATCCAAACTGAGCCCCCCAGACCCAAACTGAGCCCCCCAGACCCAAACCCTAAGCCTCCCAGACCCAAACCCTAAGCCTCCCAGACCCAAAACCTGAGATCCCCAGACCCAAACTAAGACCCCCAGACCCAAATCCTAAGCCCCCTAGACCAAAAACCTGAGATCCCCAGACCCAAACTAAGACCCCCAGACCCAAAGCCTGAGCCCTCCAGACCCAAAACCTGAGATCCCCAGACCCAAACTGAGACCCCAGAACCAAGGCCCCCAGACCCAAACTGAGGCCTTGGGACCCCTGAGACCCCCAGACTCAAAGCCTGAGACCCCCTGACCCAAACTGAGACCCCAGAGACCCCTCAGACCCAAACTGAGAACCCCCCAGACCAAAACTGAGACCCCAAGACCCAAATCCTACCTGTGAGAAGCAGGATGAGAATGAGCAGGGGTCTTGTGATCCCCCAGTTTGGGAGAGGCCCCCGATTTTGGGGAGCCCTCTCCATCCCCCCACCGTCCCCGACGAGGCCCCAAAAACAGGAGACGCGGCCCAGTGACCCCGGGAGGTCACGCCCACCCAAAATTTCCCCGGGGGGGAAGGGCTGGGGGCCACGCCCACCCATCCCCCGGGCCCCACTGCCCCAAAATCCCCTCAGGACTTCTGAGGGGGGGAATTTCGGGGGTCTCAGGGGACTCAGTTTGGGTCTCGGTGTCCTCCCAGGTCCCCTCCGTCCTTCTTCCCTCCTGCCCCAGGCCCCGAGCTGAGGACGGAGAGCCCAGAGGACAAATCCCCCCGTGAGACCCTGGTGGGAGAGGCCGTTTTGAAGGGCTCCATGGTGCAGGAAGGCAGCGGGGAGGAAAAGGGCCGGAGATCCCCCCGCAGGAGGGGCTCCAAAGCCAGCCCAGGGTGCTCTGAGGAGGAAAGACCCAGCCTGTACTGGGAAGGCAGCCGGAGATTCAACAATGGCTTTAGTGTAGAGCACTGTCCTGTCTTATCCTGTACTCCTGGTAGTTTTAGTGTGTATATTGTGCAGTAAATAATTCTGATGAAGATCTTTTCTCTGATCATTTGTAACCCTAAATAACTCATTTCTATCAAGAGATTTGATTTGCCATCTTTAAAACCTGGGGGACAAAAGTGGTTCAGTCACACCTCTGTAATTCCTCTAAACTGAAACTGGATCCAGCAGCCCCCAGCACCTCACAGGAAGTTGGGAGCTCAGGGGGGCCACCCCCCTTTGCCAATTCCCCTGTGCCCAAAGACCCCCATGGGACTGTCAGATCTGCCAAAACACCCCCCTTTTCCACCCTTCTCCCTGTTCCTTCCACTTTCCCATTGTCCCCTCAATCCCCAGCCCCCTCATGCTCACTTTGGGGGTCCCACTCTCCCCTTTCCCCACTCTTCTGACTTCTCCCCCCCATTTCCCATCATCACCCAAACCTCAGAGCCCTTCCCCCCTCCACTTTTGGGGGGTCCCTCTGCCCTCCCACTCACTTTGGGATCCCACCACCCCTTTATCCCCTCTGACCCCCCTTTTGCCACCGACCGCCCCCTTCCCACCCCCCCACTCACCCGAGAGCTCCTCACCCACAGCCGGGGGGGCTCCCAGCACCACCAGTGCCCAGAGAAGTCCCCTTAGAAAAGGGGTTAGGTGGGGTCCTGAATGGGCTCTGAGTATGTTTGGGGGTCCTTGAGGGGCTGTGGAGAGGTTTTGGGGGGTCCCAGCACCCTTTAGGGTGAGTTGGGTGCTTTACTGAGGAGCAGGTGCCCTCTCAAAGCCCCCCCAGAGCAGGTTGACACGAGGGGAACACAGGGGGTCCCCATTTCTGATCCACCCCGGGGCCGATTCTGCCTCCCCAAACTCAGCTCCACCCCTTGGGATTCCCCCAAGCCCCTCCCCCACTGTCTCCCATAACCAGGACTGGGGGGAACTGGGAAGGTTTACTGGGATCACTGGAAGCAACTGGGTGGTGTCAGAATAAAAGCAGGGAAGGGGGGGACACACGACCCCCCCAAAATCCTCGCAGGGATGGGGGGGGGGTCCAGCCACCGGCTCAGGAGCTCTGTGGGGAGAGAAAAGGGGGTGACACCACAGTGGGGGCTTCATGGCACAGAAACAACAGAGGGACATTGTGGAACCTTGTGGAATCAACAGGACATTACAGAATCACAGACTCAAAGAATATGACAAGGTGGAAGGGACTCACCAGGATCACCAAGTCCAACACTTAGCCCTGCCCAGGACCATTCCCAAGAGTCACACCGTGTGTCTGAGAGTATCATCCAAATGCTGCTGGAGCCCTGGCAGCCTTGGTGCTCTGCCCACTGCCCTGGGGAGCCTGTTCAATACCCTCAGTCCTGTCCCTGGTTCCCCCAGAGCAGAGTTCAGTCCCTGCCCCTCCTCTGCCCCTCCCCAGGAAGTTGGACCTGCAGTGAGGTCTCCCCTCAGTCTCCTCCAGCTGAACACACCAAGTGCCCTCAGTGTCCTCACACGCCTTCCCCCCAAGGCCCTTCCCCATCCTCGTTGCCCTCCTTTGGACACTCTCCAATGGCTCAATCTCTCCCTTCCATTGTGTCCCCCCAAACTGCCCCAGTGGTGCAGGTGAGGCCACCCCAGGGCAGAGCAGAGTGGGACAATCCCCTCCCTGGCCCAGCCGGCCATGCTGGGCCTGATGCTCCCAGGACAGGCTTGACCCTCCTGGCTGCCAGGGCACTGCTGACTCAGGGCCAACTGGCCACCCAGCAGCACCCCCAGGGCTCTTTCCTGGCACTGCTTTCCAGCCTTTCTTCCCAGTCTGTCTGTCCATGCGGGGTTGCCCCATCCCAGGGCAGAATCCGGCACTTCCCGCTGTTGAACTTCCCATGGTTGGTGATTCCCAACCCTTGGATCTCTCCAGGCCTCTCTGCAGGGCCTCCCTGCCCTCGGGGGACTCAACAGCTCCTCCCAGTTTGGGGTCGTCTGCAAACTTACTTAGTGTTGCCTCCAGCGTTGCATCCAAGTCATTGATGAAGATGTTGGAGAGCACAGGGCCCAGATGGAGCCCTGTGGAACCCCCCCAGTGACCCCCATCTGATGTCACCCCAGTCACTGTCACCCTCCGTGCCCGACCCAGGAGCCAATTGCTCACCCAGCACAGGATGTGTTTATCCAGCCATGGGCTGGACACTGTCCAGAGGGATCCTGGGAGAGACAGGATTGAAAGCTTTACTGAAATCCAGAAAGATCACATCAACTGGCCTCCCTTGACCAGCCAGGTGGGTCACCTTGTCATAGAAGGAAATCAGATTTGATAGGCAGGACTTTCCACTCCTGAAGCCCTGCTGACTGTGTTGTCTTTCGGGTGTTTTTCAACCTCTCCCAGAATAATCTTCTCCATAACTTTACCAGGTACTGAAGTGAGACTGACAGGCCTGTAGTTTCTGAGGTCCTCCTTCTTGCCCTTCTTGAAAACTGGGACAACGTTCAGCAGCTTCTAGTCAGCCGGGACCTCTCCAGATTCCCAAGATCACTCAAAAATCATCGAGAGAGGTTTTCTGATGATATCAGCAACTCTTTGGGGATTCTGGGATGAATCCCATCAGGCCCCAGAGATTTATAGGGATCCAGGTGGAGCAGCAGATCCCACACAACATCAGGGATAACTGGGAGTTGATCATTCTTGCAGTCATGGTCCTGCAACTCAGGGCTCTGAGACCCCCTTGGTCCATCATCCATGTTGAAGACAGGGGCAAAGAAAGCATGAAACACCTTTGCCTTGTCCTTGTCCCTGTGTGGGAGGTGACCATCCTCATCCTGGAATGGGTCATTGATAATTCTATACTTCCTATTTCCATTATTATATTTGAAAAGACCCTTTTTATTGTCCCTCACATTTCTGGCAGCTTCAACTCCAGCTGAGCTTTGGCCACACAGATTTTCTCCCTACAGTGATGAGCAGCATCTCTGAATTCTTCCCAAGTCACTTGACCTTGCTTCCACTGGGCACACACCTTCCTTTTTTGCCTTATTTCCAAGTCACAATGATCTGTTTATTCCATGAGACCTTGCAGTGTCCCAGTGGCCCCTTTGGGTCCACAAGCCACTGCAGTGTCACAATGCTCCCTTGATTCCATGAGATTCCACAGTGTCCCAGGGCTCCTTTGGCTCCAGGAGGCCCTACAGTGTCACAGTGGCCCCTTTACTCCAGGAGGTTCCACAGTGTCCTTGCTGGAACACACAGGGCTGTAATGTTGTCACCCCTGCAGAGCTGCCTCCAGCTCTGGGCTCCAGCACAGGAAGGACATGGACCTGCTGGAGTGAGTCCAGAGGGGACCAGCAAGGGGATCAGAGAGATGGAGCAGCTCTGCTGTGGGAAAGGCTGAGAGAATTGGGATTCTTGAGGCTGGAGAAAAGAAGGCTTTGGGGTAACCTAATTGTGGCCTTCCAGCGCCTGAAGGGAGCCAACAAGAAAGATGGAGAGAGACTTTGGACAAGGGCCTGGAGTGACAGGACAAGACAAGGGACAGTGACTTCATACAGATAGAGGGAAGGGTTAGAGGAGATAGTGGGAAGGAATTCTTGACTCTGAGGGTACTGAGATGCTCTTGAAGGCCCCTCCCAAGCCAAAGCATTCCATGATTGTGGGACTGGTGGGTGAGGTGGTGGTTGGAGCCACCTGGGGCACAGGGACACAAAATGAGAGAGTTTTCCATTGTGGGGGAAGGAAGGAGGGGGCAGCAGAACTGACCCTTTGGACACCTGGCAGGCAGGCTTTGGCTGGAAGCTGCTGATGGGGAGCTGAGTGAAGCCCCCACAATGCAGGAGGAAATGATCAGTGACCTGCTCTGCCAGTGAGACCCCCACAAGTGCCTGGGCCCACATGGGATGCACCCAAGAGTCCTGAGGGAGCTGGAGAAAGAGCTGGCCAAGCCACTCTCACTCATTCCCCAGCAGTGCTGCACAACTGCACAAGTCCCAGCTGACTGGCAACAAGCAAATGGGATGCCCATCCCCAGGAAGGGCCAAAAGGAGCATCTGGGCAACTCCTGGCCTGTCCCATTGACCTCAGGACCAGGGAAGTTCATGCAGCAGATCCTCCTCAGTGCCATCCCATGGCACGGGCAGGACAACGAGGGGATCAGGTCCAACCAGCGTGGGGTTGGGAAAGGCAGGTCCTGCCTGACCAACCTCATCTCCTTCACTGACAAAGGACCCGCTCAGCAGCTGAGGGAAATCCTGGGGATGTGTCTCTCTGGAATTCCAGAAAGCCTTTGGTACCATCTCTCCCAGCATCTCCTGCACAAACTGGCTGCTCATGGCTTGCCCAGGGAACTGTTTGCTGGGTGACAAAGTGTCTGATGGCCCAGGGAGTGGTGGGGAATGGAGGGAAATCCAGGTGTGGCCGGTCACTCGTGGGGTTCCCAAGGGCTCAGGGTTGGGGCTGCTTCTGTTTAACATCGTTGTGGATGATCTGGGCCAGGGGATCGAGTGCCCCCTCAGGAAAGTCATGGACAACACGTTGGGTGTGATTGTGGATGTGGTGGAGGGCAGGAAGGCTCTGCAAAGGGATCTGGACAAGCTGGATCAATAAGGTCAAGTGTCAGGGCCTGCCCTTGGGTCCCAACAACCCCCTGGAATGCTCCAGGCTGGGGGCAGAGGGGCTGGAGAGCTGCTCAGCAAAGCCTTTAGTGACAGGAAGAGAGGAAACGGCCTTAAATTACATCAGGTGAGGCTCAGATTAGATATTAAAAAAGCCCTTTTTCCACTGAGAGAGTGTTCAGGCATTGGAACAAGTAGCCCAGGGAGGTGGTGGAGTCTCTGGAAGTGTTCAAGTGTGTGGTGGGTTGACTGTGGCTGGACACCAGGTGCCCACCCAGCCGCTCTATCACTCCCCTTCCCAGTGGGACTGGGGAGAGAGTAAGGTGGAAAAAAAAAACCCAACTCATCGGTTGAGATAAGGCAGTTTATTTAAAGCAAAAATTAAAGCGAAGCTTGAGCGCGCAGAAGCGAAAGATAGCAGGGTTTGTCCTCTGCTTCCCATGAGCAGCCATGGTTGGCCACTCCCGAGGAGCAGGGCTTGGGGACGCGGGACGGTTCCTCAGCAGGCAGCCATTAGACAATGAATGCCCCCCTCCTGCTCCGGGCCTCAGCTTTTAGAGCTGAGCTGACCTCCCATGGTCTGCAATGTCCCTTGGGTCAGTTGGGCTCAGCTGGCCTACTTGGGTCCCCTGCCAGGCTCTTGCCCTCAGCTAAGGAAGGAATGTCCCAGTGTTGGTGCTGTGCTCAGCAGTGGCCAAAACACTGGGGTGTTCTCAACACCCTTCCAGCTGCCAATGCCAAACCCAGCCCTGGGAGGGCTGCTGTGGGGAACTGAACTGCAGCTCAGCCAGACCCAACCCAAATATTGATGGCACATATTCTATAGAATCCATCCTTAGGTGTTGTATGATAGATCTATAAGATATTACAAATAATAAGCAATAATAAGGCAAGTGTCCACCTGAAGGGACACCTCCCCCCAAACTCCTGCCTGGGTTTGTTGCCTGGGGGTCTCTGCAGCAGCAAGCACAGCCCCACACTGACTGCTCTGGGCTGTGCAGGCATTTGTGCTTCTGCCTGTCTCACACACACACCGAACCTTGGGATGGATCTGGATGTCACTGGTTTGTGATGTCACGGGGAGGACATGATGTTATGTCATATGAAGGATGTGTTGTCATCAAGGAGCTGTAATGTCACAGGAAGGATGTGATGTCATAGGGAAGCTGTGATGTCACAGGGAGGACGTGACGTCACAGGGATGATATGAGATCACATGAGAAGTGTGATATCATCTGATGGACATGACGTTATAGGAGAGATGTGATGTCACAGGAAGGATGTGACGTCATAGGGGAGATGTTATGTCACAGAAAGGATGTGAAGTCACAGGGCAGATGTGATGTCACAGAGGAGAATGTGATGTCACAGGGACAAAGTGATGTCGTAGGTGATCTTTGATGCCATGGGGCGGATGTGATGTCATATGGAAGATGTGATGTCACAGGAAAGATATGATGTCACATTATGGGTGTGATGTCATAGGGGAGATGTGATGTCACGGGGATGATATGATGTCACAGGAGAGGACGTGACGTCATAGGGATTATATGATATCACAGGAGAGATTTGATGTCATAAGATGGATGCGACATCATAGGGGAAATGTAATGCCACAGGAGAACTGTGATGTCACAGGGGAGGTGTGATGTCACAGGACGGATGTGATGTCATGGGGGAGCCGCGATGTCTCAGGGGAGGACGTGACATCACAGGGATGATGTGATATCACAGGAAAGGTGTGATGTCATATGATGGTTGTGATGTCATAGGGGAGATGTGATGTCACAGTGGAGGTGTGATGTCATAGGGCAGTTGTGATGTCATGGGGAGGACTTCACAGGGATGATATGAGATCACAGGAGAGGTGTGACATCATATGATGGATGTGGCATCATAGGGGAGATGTGATGACATAAGGGAGCTGTGATGTCAAGGGGA